CACACGAAGACGTTCAACAGCGGACAGAGAACTTGGGACTGGGAACACTTTATACACACACACACAGGAGGAGGGGATGACGAGACACACCTGGGAGCAATAAAACCAAGGGAAACACCTGGGACAAATGAAATAAACTAATCAGGACAGGAACAGGAAACTAACCAAATAAGGGCATGGGAAGGCACATGGGGAGCAGGACACACACAAAACATGGAACAGAGTCTGACAATACAGCGTGGCAACTCACTCGTTTTTTTTTTTAAACACTGGGTGGTGACTATCTGCCAACATTTTGGTCCATGTTAGACAAGGATATTCTGTGACCCAGCTATTATCCCTGTTAAATGTTGCACTAAACATCCTGTTACGCACAATAGGCTGGTACATTTGACAAGTTCATTGTTTATAAGCAGGTTCATTGATGGACTGTTTTTCTTAAAATCTATGTTGGCATGAGGGTGAGAAAACGATGAGGGATTTTTTTTAAATGATCTCATTAAATAACCAACATTGGGGTAAATATTTGAGGGCTAAATAATTATATTTTGTGTGTCATTATAAAACGTAATTACAATGCCTAGTAAATTATCAAGTTACAGATATCAGCCAAAAAGCCAAGCAAGAGACAGACGATTTTTTGGAAAATTATGCATAGTGCACCTTTAAATAAATTACTATAGCAATAAAAAATGACAGCTATTGACCATAGTCTGGCTATAGCTATAGTACTAGTCATACACTTGCACTTCAGTTGAAGCTGCTGGGTGTAAATTTCTATATTGTACAGATTGTTTTCCCAATGTTCAGTTACCAAGGACATTTCTGGTGATGTTGTGATATGACTAACATGTCTTTCCAACACATAATTTCAGCACCCCAGTCATATAGCCTACTGGAGTTCATAACAGACTGATGACAGACAAACGAATGATTCAGCCTTCGAGTAAGAAAACAAAGGACCGAAATATATGATCTTTCTGTCTGAACAGATTGATTCTTTTTGTGGTGTGAAGATCAATGAGAATTGCTGACAGAATGTTGATTCTGGAACAGATTTACTGAACGCTGTTGTATCATGATCAGTCTGTTCTCAGTGTGGCCATGGAGACAGATCCAAATATGTTGGTTGCAGATGATTAGACACATTGTGTAATTTGGCCATCAGCAAAATTAAAATCGCTCTGAATAATCCTCTGGCAAGAGAACTCAGCAAGTTTTTTTTGGCATGAACAATTTAATTCTTATGACTCAATTTTCTGACTGCAACAATGCTATGGTGTTGTGGGAGGTTTTCAGAGTGTTGTGATGCTAACGTTGCTAAGATTTTGTCAGTGGTTGTTGGCACATTCTATGCAGTTTCTAAGATGTTCTAAGTGGTTAGCATGTTGCAATGCAGCTGCATAGGGATTCTGAGTAGCTGTTAGTATCTTGCTATGCAGTTGCTAAGGTGTTCTGAGTAGTTATTATCATCTTGCTATGCAGTTAGTTGTTCTGGGTAGTTGTTAGCATCTTGCTATGCAGTTTCTAAGGTGTTCTTGGCAGTTGATAGCACCTTGCAAAGCAGGTGCTAAGGTTAGTTGTTAACATCTTGCTAAGCTGATCTGAGTAGTTGTTGGCATCTTGCTATTCAGTTGAGAATGTGTTACGGGCAGTTGTTAGCATCTTGCCGTGTGATAGGTGATCTAAATGGTTGTTAGAATCTTGTTTTGCAGTTGCTAATGTGTTATTGGCAGTTGTAAGCATCTTGCAATGCAGTAAGGTGCTCTGAGTATTTGTTAGCAACTTCCTTTGCAGTTGCTAAGGTGTTCTGGGCAATTGTGAGCTTCTTGCCATGCTGTAAGGTGTTCAGAGTAGTTGTTAGCATGTTGCGATGCAGTTGCTAAGGTGTTCTGAGTGGTTACTATCATCTTGCTATGTAGTAAGATGTTCTGAGCATAGATATGTATAGATTCCCCATTTGACGGCTCCAGGCACGTAGATGCGGCTGCCATCTTGGAACAGTCCACTTGACGTCAATCATCATACTGCAGGTTCTCACAGAGCCGTTGAGCCGTTCTGTGCAGGATTGTGGCATCTTTCAAATATTCAGTGATTACTATGGTAAATGACATCAAGTTGACCGTTACAATATGGCGGACGGCTTACATATAGCTGCCCATCTACGTATATATATATGTATGGTTCTGAGTACTTGTTAGCATCTTGATATGCAGTTGCTAAGGTGTTATGGTCCGTTTCTTGCCATGCAGTAAGGTGATTGAATAGTTGTTAGCATCTTGCTATGCAGTTGCTGCTTTGTTCTGAGTAGTTCCATGTGTCAAATTTAATGTGTACGCTAGGGTGCAACATAAATTTGTATGCGCATAAATTGTACACACCCAGACAGATTTTTCTAACCGTGCGTACTGTTTGCTCATCTCGTACATGTGTCTTCATTATTTGCACTAATTAGTTTGTCCACAAGGTGGCAACACTTGCAGGCCATTGTTTCACAGCCAACAAAGAAACAAAGGAAATGGAACAACAACAAACTACTTTTGATCACAAGAACTCTATATTAATTGAGTATAATGACTAGAAAGAAAGAAAGAAATAGCGCAGACACCAGACAGGGATGAAACTTTCTAGTGTGCATAGTCGCCTGTGTTGGTTCTTGCTATTAAATGGAGTATATTTTGAAAGTCTACGCATTTCAATGTATGCATACACTAAGCATTCACATAAAAATAAACTATTTAGTGATTTTTAACCATTTTATCATCAACAAGATGAAAACTACTGGTCAGATTGTTTAGAAAAGTAATAGTACACATCTCCTTAATAAGTTCCATGATTTGAGATATCATTTACATATGCAGAACAAACATTACTTTGCAAAGTTCAACACTAAGTTTGCTGTAACTCAGTAGTAATAGTGATGCTTACCTTATCTAACACCACTAACAAGGGCTGGGTGAAGTCAGGATCCCAGGCCTTTTTACTTTAGTTAGAATCTATATTTAGGCGGCTCAGGCTTGTGCAAATCTAAAAGCTGTTAATAGAAACATTGCTATAGATTAATTGACTGACTGCTTAATGATGTACCTCTGTACAATTGACAGCAGTCATCTCATCTGAAACTATCTGTTTGACAGAGGCACTTCCACTAATGGCCATCACTCTGAACTCAGGGTTCAGGTACTAGAGTTTTACAGAGTGCTGATAGTCATTCAGACCTTATTCTCTCCTTTATGGCGCTCTGTATGAGAGAAGCTCATATTAGCACTCAAATATTTATAACGCTCAGCTGGGAACAAAGACCATGTAGAGTACATAGCTTCAGGCTCACAGCGGTGCATTAGACTACTGAAATTTTGCAAATAGATGAGTGGAAATATATTGAGAAATGCAATGTCAAATTGAATTGAAGTGAAGCTGAAGCATCTTGTATCACCCAGAAGGGTTTATTTTGTGATAATAGCTGAATGAGTTCGAATAATCCTGTTTATAACAAAGCTACTTACTTAATATCAAAAGTAAATGAATGGACATTAAATATTAATTTAAGCCATTTCATCACATGAACAAAAGAGAGTGTGAAGTGATACAAGAGACAGTAAAGTAGCACATTGGCAATTGGTTAATATGTTTTATATGCGCTGGCTTGCTGTCAGGATTATGGACTATCCTGTGTGTGTTTTTGCCCCTGTGACCCAGTTTCTTCTTCATGTTGATTGTGTTAATTTGATTCCAGGTGTGTCTCGTTCCTCCCCAATTATCCTGCCTTTAAAAGCCCTAGTCCTTTCAGTTCTTGTTTGTTGGGTCTACTTGTTGAATGTCCTCCTTGTTCTTGGGTTTCCTGTGGATTATTAAAGATTGTTATTCAAGTACTCCTCGTTTCCTCGTTCCTTGCTCCCCGAGTGAATTGTGACTCTTGCTAGTTACACATAAATATAAATTGTCTATGTAAATAGTAAGGTTATTATTATTATTTTTACTTATGAAACAATTTTATAATAATATGAAATTACTTGTATTTTCAAATTTAATTTTAGCCATATATTGTAAGGGATCGTACAGTTAACCAATGAACTGGTTTTTACTGTTGCATTTTTCTATTAAAATTATTATTTTAACTTTATTATACCATTATGACTCATTAGGTATTAGGTGGTGATATATAATGTAATATTAAGTCATTACCATATTCATGTGCCAAATAAATAAAAATCGCTAAGAATAAAATTTAATTAAATTAAATGCAAATCACTCAATTATTTTACATCTAGATACATAAAAGTATACCATGGTATTATGTTTTTTTTCCCCTTTATTTATATCGCACTTTACACAATACAGATTGTGTCAAAGCAGCTTTACAGTGTTATACAGGAAAAAAGTTTAAATGACGCAAGCAAAATTAAATACAAAAAAATAAAAATAAGTTAATAAATGTTTATGAAACTTCTTGTTAACACTTATACATCCTGGACAAGATTATAATATGTTTTAATGTCTTCATTATAGAAGGTTCCTTAAAGTGTGTGGCCATTTGTGAAATTTTTTTCTTTCAGAGGAGGAACTACGGAAGCTACGAGAAGAAACCAATGTGGAGACCCTAAAGCAGGAGCTGGAGAGAGAACGCAGCAGAAGACTTGACCTGGAACAGAAGATGAGTGATGTGCTGAAGACCAGGTGAAAAACCAACTCAAATATAGACACCAACACACATAAGCTTTACAGAGTTGACATAAAGTGTCAAACAATGAATGAGGAGCACAGGAGCTTTAGGTCACAAACATTCAACACTCTATACACACACTAAGTACTGGGGATTAGGAATAGGGAACTGCTTCTTATTTGGAATTAGTTCTTTTGAGCTCAGTTTTGTTAATGGTTCTTAAATGTCCACATTTTAACATTTTATTGTACACACATTTATTGTAGCCTGATTTATTAACAAATTATTATTATTTTTTTTTAATTAACGCTGCAGTCCGTAACTTTTTTGGGTTAAAAATGATACAAAATAAATTTTTGATTAAGTACATAACCAGCCAGTGTTCAAAAGTATCGCCTTACTTTAGCCCGACTCACAACGGTAAGCTTATAATAATGTTTTCTAATTTAAGTGGTACTGGTAGGAATTTGCGGGAAATTCGAGCATGCCGCCGCGTTATTACGTAACGTCTGTAAACATAAAGAAGTAGTAGACTATATCACATGTGAGGATCCTGCAGGTGGCGGATCGTTTATAGCCTTTTCTCACAGCAGCTGGAATAATTAAATATTATAATCCAAAAAGGTTTATGTGTTTATGAAACACAAGTGACTGAAATTAGATTATATTCCAGTTTTAAATGTGCATCTGATTACAGATACGTGGGATTGCACAAGTTTTGTATTTATATATGAAATATATGAAATTCGAGTGGCATGACAATTAGAGATTAGACTGTACAGAAATTGAAATCTACATGTAACGCTACACTACATACATGTAGTCACGCAATGCTGATGTGGTTAACATGAACAATTTGAGAACAAAGTATAACAGTAATAATAATTTGCACAGTTTGATGTGATATGAGCTAACCAATCGTTAGATTTAATCAACATTGTAGCACGATTTATTGTACTGCTTTTTTCCTCAGTTGGTCAGAACAAAAGTGTCAGACTTGCTACTAGTGGTTCAACGGATCACCCTTTAAGACCTGATGCACGGATCCGATATAATGATGCACATCACATCCGATTTCTTTCTCAGCTGTTTTCATTCACTTGAGACATAACTGACTGTGTTTACCTGAATGATTGTCGAGATGGGTATTTTGTCATAATTTTATGTGTATGTGTCTGTTCAGAGGATTCAGAAGAGGATTCAGTTCTGTGTTTGCGCGCTGTCTGAAACGCCTGTGCGCACTTCATGTGTGTGCGGCTGTGTGCGTAGAGAACAGCGCGCGAGTAATGAATCGAGTTCCCTTTCGCCTTTTCTCTCTGGAATTGTTTAAAATTCGCTTGCTTGTGTAAATACGAACAAATGATAAACTTATACTCTATTATGGTTACATTTTGCAATTAATCCAGAACTAGCATTATGCTAAACTATGCGATTGTTTTAATTTAGTAACGATGTTAGCTAGCTAGAAATCATTTCCAGTAATTTCCAATTGTGCTCAAGTTTTTACGTGAAAACAGCTTTGTGAATATTTGAACTATTGAAAACATTTTCGCTGAAATATCACTCACTGTGACCGCACGCAAGTTAACTTTAATGAGGTTATGTGATTAATATGAACGTCAATGTATAATGAGTCAAGCAAACAAGAATCAAACTCTCGAAATGCACACGGACCAAAGTATTACAAATCAGAAATCTAAAACAGAAAGGCAAACTTACCTTAAACACGAGAAGATCCAGCCATGCATTTCCTCCGTGACAAGCCCAACCGTCAAAGCGATTCAAAGCGTGGGTCCAAACACGCATACGCGGATTCAAGCGCGCCGAACTTTTAGATTAAAATGTACTCAATATTTCTAGATTTATGTGCAATGACTATAAAACATGTAAATATTACAAGTAAATATTAATAAGACTTACTCTTCTCACGCAGTTCATTAATTACATGAATTAAATGTGTACATTTTACTTAAAATTGTTGTTCTCCTTGATTTTTAATATTACAAGTAGAATTTATGATGATTAATTTAATATATTTTACAACACCCCAAATTTTTTTTTTTCAGTGATGTGATTCCAAAGTACGGTGAATATCCACACCGGTGCGGTGAATGACAGCCACACATTCACCTCAAAACATTCGAATCATCCGCGCTGGAGTCGTGCCGGTGCACAACCCATGCAAAGAATATAATTCCGCAAATAACTGCCATTGCAGGTTTCAAACAGAGATGGCGACAAAGAGACAAAACTTATGGACTGCAGCTTTAAATTGAATTTAAAAAGACTAACAATTTGTATCAAACTCATTATTATTGAAGTATCAGCTTATTTGTATTAGAGAAGCACAATACATTGATACCATATCAGTTATCATTTGACATTAGAATTGTTTTGTAATTTATCGTTACCAATAAATTAATTTACAGTATATAGATAAAATAATATATATTTTAATATTGATTATTTATATAATTATTGGCTCATCGCTATTGGTCAGAATTTTAATATCGGTGCATTCATTTGTTCTTAAGGCTTGTGAGACCACACATTACTGTAATTACCAACTGCACTGCAAAAAAATATATAAAAATAAAAAAAAAGGTGTAATGTTTAAAAAGTCTACCTTTGAAACTATTTTCACTCAGATATTGCACAAAGTAACACACTGAATTAAACATGAAATTTTGAATTAGAAAGACTCGAAATAGTATTTTCAAGTAAAACTCCAATAATTTTTGTTTTATTTACAACCTCGAATTTTTATTTTTTTTAAAATTTTTTTACAGTGTGGTTGTTCGCATGACCTGTAATTAAAAATGCACAAAATCAAGTCTACAGCAAAGCATTAAATAGACCTGAAATGCATAAAGTAAAAACCAGTTGAATTAAGTTTGTAATGTAACTTTTACTTTAGTATTATGTTGTTTAAAACATAGTTTTATACTTTCTTTCTATAGTCTGTGATAAATTGATGAGTGTTGGCATTGTTCAGTGACCCGGTGCTGTACTCGGTCTGGCTGTCACAGTAGGACTGACCGTAGAGGGCTGCCCACGCCACACGCTGAGCTATAAAAATAGCCACTACATCCCACCCCCCATGACCCTTCAGCAGGAAGTCGATGTCTATACGTAGAGAGTCGTGCACAGCAATATGTCTGTACAGAGTGTTCTTTCCACTGATGTCATTTCAGCATCGAATTGATTCGGATTTGATTGGCAGCACATTTTGGGCTTGCACATGAGTATGCTGTGCTCCGTTGAGAAGTTTCTGATAATTAACCTGCAAATATGTGTAGAACATCAATGTGATGATTTTACCTTTTATATTGTTTTAGCTTAAACTAAAGTTCTCTGATTTTTTGGGAAAAATGCCTGAACACACAACATTTTTCAGTTTTTTTTTTTAATAGTTTTAGCTTTGCTAATAACACTGAATGACAGACATATTGCAGACGAAAATATTGAATGTCCATAGTTGAACTACACCCGTGGTTAGTTCAAGGACACCTAGGTGAACATGAGTGGAACTGACATCATACATCCACTAAGTTGTTTGACACCTGTTGGTTAAAAAATAGCAAAAATGGCTCAGAAAAGTTCTGAGTTCTGAGAAAAAAGTTTGAATTGAATTGAAAGTTAATGTAGTTTGTGTTTCCTGGTGAAGGTGTGAAGATTCTCCACCTCAGCCTCCACGGAAACAGCAGCCACCTGCAGCTAACGGCACAGGTAATGCAACCCTCAAAGTTTTGACATTAGAAGTAACAAAATGATTCATTTTTACATGACTATACTTCTACACCTTACAATTTTTTGATCAGTTCTCAAGAGTAACATTTAAGGCAGAATTGTATGTTTTTAAACTACTATGGACTTATTATTATTTTTATTCTGAAAAGTATCAGCAAAAATGTTTGTTTACCAATGTGTGTGTGTCCTGACAATTTGTATGTTTATTACAAAAAGTTATGTTAGCTTTTTATTTAAATAATTTCACATATATTTATGGAACCGTGAAAAGCTGGGGAGACTGATTTAAATCATTTCAGTCCAAATACAGTTTGAGATTCTTATTTTAATACCAAAAATCTTGTGTCAGAATTTGATAAGACACAGAAATATGTCATACATAATTTGGTAAATATTGCATCCCAATTACCTTAAAAAACAATCCTAGTGAGACTGTTAAATATCAGGGTGACATAAATTCGGTAACACTTTAGTATAGGGAGCAATCATCTCTATTAACAAGTTGCTTATTAGCATGCTTATTATTAACATATTCTGCGTCCTTAATCCTACCCAATACTTAAACTTAACAACTACCTTACTAACTATTAATAAGCAGCAAATTAGGAGTTTGAGGTAAACGTCGTAGTCTGTTAAAAGCGTAAATTCATATGGACTCAACCAAATCTTTCTATTTGTCTGTCAGTCATTTGGATTCAAGTTTTAATTGTGGCTCTAATCCTGTATTGGGGTTTTGGATTTTCCAGCTGGTTTGTGGTTTAGGTTAGTGACAGTTCAGGAAGCTTTCCGCTGTTATTTTAGGCACTTGTCTAAATTTGTAGACCATCTAGGCCAGACCAACCCCTTTTGTTTAAGGCAGGAAATGAGAATGTAGAGCATAAACCTCTCTCTCTCTCAGTACGCCCACTGTAGGATTTAGAGATGAATAGAGATTTGGTTTTGGCCTCTGAATGAAATACATATCTAACCTCTCTCTGTAGACAAACAGCAGAAGGAGACGGTGTGTTCGCGGCTGCAGAGCTGGCTCTATGATCGGTTTGGGGTTTATATAGAGGATTTTCGCTTCCAGCCCGAGGAGAACACGGTTGAGGCTGAGGAGCCACTAAGTGCTAAAAGGTTAGTGAAGAAAGATCACCTGTGGAGGTCATTCTTGTGAAACTGAAATACTCTGCTCCATTATCATGTCTCAGAGATCCTTTTCTGTCTAGTAACATCTGCCCCCCTGTGGCCAGGATGCTTTTAGTCCGAATAAGCCAAGCATAGTGGCAGAGAAGAGATCTTCAAAAGGGGCAGGACTTAAATCAACTGACATAACATGGAGCTTTTATTTTCACCAGAAAATGAATTTGCCTTTCAAAATAAAAGCATATGTCCTAACATATATTCCCTTCTGGTTCTGTCAAAATTATTTATGTTTTAGAGGGGTAAGACTTTAACTTGCCATATTTAGATACAACACAAATACGTTTACATTTCTCAACACGTCCAAGGTCAGTTATATATGCAAAGTGCAGCTGTTATAAGTCCATCCCTCTTTTTAAGATCTGGGACAATTTTAAAGAGCTGGCCTCCTTCTTTTGGGCCAAAGCTAAATGTATGTCTCTCTCAGATGGCTTATGCAGGAGGAATATTCTGGGTTTAATGCAACTTAAAAAAAAAAGTCCTATGTATTATATTGAATATACTATTATCACCTAATCAGACTGTAATTATTAGAGCTTAACTTGTTTTGAACCTGTTTTGTTTTATGCAGTTGAAAATAAGACTGTCCAGTGTGCTTGTACAAGTTTTTGAGGCTTTTTATGTTTGGGGGTTGTGGTTTATAGACTTTTGTTTTCAACTTTCAAAATAAAAGATACACAAAAAAAAAAAAAAATCTCAAAACCCTAAATATTCAATCAAAACAGTGTACAGTATATATATATATACTGTGTATGTACAAAAAAAGGATACATTTCTGATAATGGACTGCAAGCTCATACATTTCTTTGAAAATTTTGGGAAGGACTTTTTCCTATCTGAATCTTAACATATTAAACAGACTCTGTAAAGGCCCATTTTTATTTGCGTCTTATTAATATGCTACTCTGACTACAAGTCTGTCAAGTCAAGTTTTAGAGATTCCTCAGAAATGTGTAAGGTTCACAGGTTTATTTCATAGTCCAGGCAGTTATTTTGAAACCCATTAAGAATCGTTGAGATTTTGCGGTTTGTGGTCAGATTTACTCTTCAAGCAGGAGTTCTGGGTCTGATGTTCATTCAATGCATGTAACTGCCTCAATTAGACATGAGGCTATTAAGTCCATGTCTCCTAAATGTCCCATTAGGGATCAATGAAGTGCATCTATCTGTCTCTGAAGAGAGGTATTGAGCCTGTGCTGGCCACAACTGTCTGTTTTCATTGATTTACGTGGTTTAAGTGTCACTTTTCAATGAAAATACAAGACAGACTGTGCTTGGTGGAAGAAAAAAGTGGTGTTTGCTGAAGGCAAGGTCACTTGTCCCTCACTGTTTGTGTATGAATGATACCTCAAATTGTTCTTAATTTGAGCATCACTCAGAAACTGTAAAAATTTAGCTGTACTGTATGTTGTGGTTCTTTTTTGCTTTTGCTTGAAAATTTGTCTTGTCTTTGTTTCAGATTAACAGAAAATATGCGACGACTTAGTAAGTCTCTTTTTGTTTTTGTATTAAAGTGTTTCTGTGTTTGTTTGTTTTTTCATGTTAAAGGGATAGTTCACCCAAAAATGAAAATTCTGTCATTAATTACTCACCCTCATGTGGTTCCAAATCCGTAAGACCTTCGTTTATCTTCAGAACACAAATTAAGAGGATTTATCTAATTATCTGCGTGACACGGCTGACACAGAATAGCATACGCTGTTTACGTTCAGTGGATACTCTCCAAAATGGTACCAGGGTGGAGAGGAATTGTTGAATAAAGTCGTTATTTTTGTTTTCTTTGCGTACAAAA